ATCATGACATCTGACATACACTGTTTCTTCCTGCTGAGGGCATTAGCACAACTGACTGCAAATTATGTGATTAGTTTAAGGGGTTAATGCACACATACAGAGTACATACAAAACACATATAAACACATACTCACAAAGAGTCAAGGACTGGAATTAGGACCTCAAAGGAGAAAATTAAGTCACTTAGCTACTGAGTCACCATAGCTCATCTTTGTTCCAGGGTAGTCATATGCAACCCATTAATTTGAAATCTAATTATGCTCCACTGCTAAGCACAAATGCACAGAATCTTATACACCCAAGGAAATACTTCAAAGTGCTTTGCTCTGCAGAAACATCTGCAGCACCTATTTTTAATTCAATCACCCAATATTATGCCTTCACCAAAATTAAGATAATCTGTGTACAGTGAACCAAACGAACATATTTCTAATTAGTGGTGTGCTGCATCAGAACAGAGCCAGAGAGAAAAGGAGAATTCCATTCAGTCTGTAGGTACAATCAAAATCCTCATCAATGTGTCTACTGTTTGTTCTTAAGGGATTGAAAAATAAATGTTTTAAGAAAATGAAGCTGTTAGCTCAAACCTTTAGTTACTGTAGTTAATGAATGTCTTCAAATCCCAGTTTGTCTTTCAGACTGAGTAGCCTTGGAAAACAGGCACATCAACCAAACAAACAGACTCTGCACATTCACTTTAATATTCACCTCAGCCTTCATACTATCAAATCACTTGGAGAGGCTTTCTTCATTTTGTAAAGTAAGACATTACTACCTTTGTGAAATGTGTCATGGGATCTTCAATGGTCATGTTCTAGGTTTCATGTCTTATTTGAAAGATGACATCTCCAGCAGAATAGCATCCCCTAACACTGAGCTGGGGTATATATTTGTATGGACTGGTACGGGACTCGAGTAGTAAAGAACTAATGGAAGGTAATGTAATTAATGCAAATTAGTAGGGATTTATGAGTCATAGAATATCAGGGTTGGAAGGGACCTCAGGAGGTCATCTAGTCCAACCCCCTGCTCAAAGCAGGATCAATCCCCAGAGTTTTATCCCAGTTCCCTAAATGCCCCCCTCAAGGATTGAGCTCACAACCCTAGGTTTAGCAGGCCAATGCTCAAACCACCGAGCTATCCCCCTTGACAGATTATGTCAAGTAAATTTAATACCATTTTATGAGATTACAAATTTGGTTGATAACGGCAATAGTGGCAATATAATATACTTAGAATATACTGACTAATAAGTATCAAACTTATTGTAACTGTAAACAGGAATCATAATTGAGCAGGTCTGTTTCCAGTGGGGTCCCGCAGGGATCGGTTCTTGGCCCTGTGCTATTTAACATCTTATAAAGAAAACATAAAATCATCACTGATAAAGTTTGCCGATGCAACAAAGATTGGGAAGTAGTAAATGATGAAGAGGACAGGTCACTGATTCAAAACCATTTATATCGCTTGATAAACTGGGCACAAGCAAACAACATGCATTTTAATGCAGCTAAATGTAAATGTATTCATCTGAGAACAAAGAATGAAGGGATGGGGGACTCTATCATGGGAAGCAGTGACTATAAAAAAGATTTGGGGGTTGTGGTTGATAATCAGCTGAACATGAGCTCCCAGTTTGACACTGTGGCCAAAAGAGCTAATATGATCCTGAGATGAATAAATAGGGGAATTTCAGGTACGAGTAGAGAGGTTATTTTATCTATGTATTTGGCACTGCTACAGCCACTGCTGGAATACTGTATCCAGTTCTGGTGCTCACAATTCAAGAAGGATGTTGATAAACTGGAGAGGGTTCAAAGAAGAGCCACAAGAATGATTAAAGGATTAGAAAACATGCCTTCTGGTGATAGACTCAAATTGCTTACTCTATTTAGCTTAACAAAGAGAAGGTTAAGGGGTGACTTGATTACACTCTACAAGTACATGCAGAAGAAATATTTAATAATGGGCTCTTCAATATAGCAGAGAAAGTTATAACACAAGCCAGTGACTGGAAGTTGAAGCTAGACAAATTCAGTTTGGAAATAGGGCATACATTTTTAACAGTGAAAGTAATTAAACATTGGAATAATTTCCAAGGGATGTGGTGGATTCTCCATCATTAGTAATTTAAAAAACAAGATTGGATGTTTAATTAATTTGGGGAAGTTCTGTGACTTGTACTATACAGACTAGATGATCACAATGGTCCTGGTCTTGGAATCTATAAAGAAGTATGACTGCCTCCCACTGAACAGTCAACACCAACAGCACCAAAGATTTTACATTTTAGTCTCCCACCATGTATTGATTCATCTCAATCCTGGTTAGTTAATGAGATCATAGTTTCTGATAATATGGTTACAAAATCACAATTAGCACACATTTTTCAACCAAAATTAAAACAACTCAAAAAGTCTATGAAGATCACCATTTTCTAAAAAAACACACAATCACTTTACGATCGCTAGAGTGAGGCAAATATTATCAGATTCCAAGAATAGCCTTAGGGTGGACAGTGCTTTTATAACCCATTAAGCTATCTTAACTTGCACATTGCTATCAGGGTTCCACTGTTGCAACAAATTGGCACTTTAGATGAGCTTTATCTGAACACATGGTGTTCCATATCAGTGTCCCAAAAATCAGCAATAAAATATAATGAAACTACGTTAATAGCACAATGCCCCAGCTTGAGCAGAGTATAATTCAATAAGTTTGGCTAGTTTCTAGTTCTTACTGCCAACTTGTCTGTATTTTCTTTCTGTTGAATACGAGTTGTTTAAGTGATATGTGCAGCGCCAGATTCTGTCACACCTATGACGAAACAATGAGTAAAGTACTAAACATCAGAAAATGTGGAATAGTCTGGCTCATAACTCATTCCTCCAGCCTGCCATCTTAAAATCTATATTATGTTTACAGATGCTGTAGCTAGAAGTTTGGTTTTTTTTACTATCCATTCTTCCATTTTGTAAATGTAATATTTTCAACACTTGTGATTTCATTGCAAGTCTTGTGATTGTTTTCACTTTTCTCAAAGCCCAAACCTCCAGAGTCATGTCATTATGTGAAAATTTGGGCTTCTATTGAAGAGATATTAAGTTGAAATGCTTGCAAAGGTGATCCCCTCAAGGTCCAAAACCGATAAATCAAATGAATAGAACTCCACATGTATTAGTTTTTAAATCTTGTGATGTTTTTGCAATATTGCAACTATTTTACAGTATATAATAACATTAACAATGTTTTTATAGCTAAAACAAAATACTTTTGAAATATAAAAACAGAGTTAATTTGGTTGTTCCTTTGTTTCTTTGGATTTAAACATCCCCCTGTAGCCCTTCCAATCATAAGGCATCAGCATTGCATTAGTGCTTAAAGAACAGAGAGTGAAACTGACTATAAATCAAAATCAAACTGACTTCTGTTTTCATTCCTCAAACTGTGATAGATTTTTAAGAGTGAAGAACCCAGCAATGCTGCCAAGCAAAAAATTATTTTAAAAATAATTTCATTTTTAATATCAGTAATACAGGAAGGCAATATGTTCCTAAAGAAATGTGTGCTTATATTTTCTTTGTTCCATTAAGCCTTTAAGCTACACGCACACAACTAATTTTACATCTTCCCAACCCTGATGTCAATTTGTAAGTTATAGGTCATAACTTGCCTCACAATTATTGCATACATCCAGGGCAGCTCTACTGCTGATGTAATTTGATATCATCTGAAAATCTGGCCCATAAAACTTATAATGGAGAACTGGCATCAAGTAAAATTACCTAGGGAATAGTGTGTCTCCATTTTGTATATAGACACAGTAACAAGAAACCAATGAAGTCTAGGGATGGTTTTAGTAGCTGGGTGATTCTAGCTGGGGGTGCCTATCCATCAAGATTTGTGCAATCTTGTCTCTCCGCTCTCCGTCGCTTGACCTGATTACCAAAGCAAAACATAGTTGGGTGTGATAGGCTCAAGCAAGACAGTTTTCAAGGATGCCATCCCTTAAGTTGGTAGGAAGGATGGTGAGGCAGGCAGGCCTCCAGCAATAGGCACTAGCCAGGACAGAGGACAGACAGATACAGGGAAGAGTAGGGATGTCAGACTGTATTTATATCAGCTGCAGTAGCAGTACTCCCCTCTGTACCCATCTCTGTCTTCTCTGCTCTAGAAAGATTTTGGAGGAATGTGATATTTACAGAAGGGCCACATCAGGCAGGGGATGGGGAGGGAGAATGCAAGGAGTAACTGTGAGAATATGTACATCAATAGCAAAGTCTTCCCATACCTCTGAGCAGCCACCCACTCTGCCCATATTACAGGGTGGGCTGGTCTCTTGATTTGGTGAAAAAGTTGTAGTCAAATAATTATTTTCTTAAAACTAAGATTTGATAAAAATATTTAAGGTTTTTATTGTTGGTGCTACACAGTAAAGTAATTGTGTAATTATCTAAGACACTAATTACAGAAGAGACTTTTTACCCAGATGATCATGTATATACACTCAAGCATCTATCCTTTCAGAATCCTTGCATGTAGGAGTAAGGCTGCTTTCCAAAGAAACAGGAACAAGAGGGTCCAAATTAGAATGATTTCTTAAGTTAGCACAAGAGCCAGGATGCCAGAAAGGGTCATTTAAATGAATCAGCTATAACTTCATCCTTTATAATAGAAGTCCAAGAAGATCTCCCTACCCCCCTCACACACACACCCCTTACTGGGTACAGGCTTTAATTATTTGTCTGCCCGTCCTTCACTAAACTCACTGTGATATCATGGTCCCTGTTAATGTTTCATTGAAACCAATGATATGCCTGCCTCCTACATTCAACAGCATTGCAGCAGTACTCTACCTGATCTGGAGATACCCGTATAGTTATGCTGCTCTCTGAGGGTAAAGATTCCACATATTGCTGCAACCCGGCTCTGGGTTTACCTCATCCAGTTGCTGAGTGGGGTATACTGTAGTCCTGCTAAAAGTGTCAGTGAGTACGCACCTGTAGCTTGTCAGTGGATTCTTTGGTCACCTCCGCTGATTGAAAAGTTGTGCATACTGTAGCCTTGCCCCCTGATCGGTGCAGTTAGTATTGAAGAATGCAGTTCTTTGGTTGTCATTCTAAATAAATAAAGGCAATAGCTTGCATTTGTGGAACATCTTTCATTTGAGGACTTCAGAGATGTACATTGAAACTAGGGCACATAGAGCTTAAATGACTTGTCCAAAATCACACAGCAACTCAGTGGCAGAACTGGGAACAGAAGCTAGCTGCCTTGACATGCAGTCCCCTGACAACACTGCCTTTAACCGAACATGGCCTGGCTCAGAGCTCAGCTTGGCTCCAGCTCTCCCAGGTTGTGTCCCCCTCCTAAACTTCACTCTGAGACTGCACTGCTGCAGGCTTTCATTTGATGGATACACAAGATCACTTGGCTGTGCTGACTGTTTGACAGCAACTAGGAAGAAAACAAAGATGTACATTACAGAAAAAAAAGGAATTTCAATATGGGACAGTTCTCCCTAAACCAGTCATTACACTGGATTACATCCACAATCAGATTTGCCTGAGGTGGCTGAAAAGCAAATTAACCATTAATTTTTGCATAGAGTGCTTTTTCCTTTTGCAATTATCTATAATATTACCATAAAAGACTCATTAAAAAAAGTGATATCCTTTCACTCCTACCCAAGAAGAAAGTACCTGCAAAGAGCTTCCCACCAGCATAAAAAACTATTCTCATAAACCCCTCAACTTGGGGGGAATATAAGGCCAAGATGTTCAATGCTGGGGAAGGCCAGAGACATAAGATTGGCGGAGGCAGACAAGATACCTAATAGCTCAGATACGTTGTGTAGAGACCTTCAGGCACCTTATTATGCTTTATGGATGGGCTACTCCTAGGGGAATTCTGTGCCACTGCATGCATGCATAATTAATGAGCCAGACATATTTTTAATTTTTTTGCACAGAAAAAAGCTTCTGCCAGAAAGTTGCTGAAGTTCTGCCTTTTGCCCACCAGAGGGCGCTGTGGGAATAGCACAGAGCAGCAGCTCCCGGCCAACTAGGGAAGGAAAAGAGCCTGTAGTGCCTTTTTCACAGCGCCTGTCAGGCCAAGTCAGGAGACAGGGGCTATGGGGAGATAGACAGGGTGGGACTGCTGGGGGGGGGGTCACAGACAGGGGCTCATAAGGGCTAGTGTGGGAGGACAGACTTGGGCAGGGGCTGAATGGGAGTGGAGGTACAGGGCCACAGGGGGGGAGGGAGGTGGCTGAGTGCAGGCACAGAGACACATGGGGACAGGGGCAGATGTGCCTGACTGAATGGGAGAGGCTAGGAGTCAGCCAGGATCTGCATTGTGGAAGCCTCCTAACAATCCCTCCCCACCTCCTAAAAAAACTGTTTCATATTTTTCCCACCCATACTCAACATCTCTCCAACTTCAAACCCAGGGTCCTTTCCAGCAATTACTTCCCTCTCCCTCAGAACATCTGTTACCCCCTGACTCTCCCAAGTCTTTGCACTGCTTCTCAGGGGTGTGGGAAATATGATTCTGTATTGCAGTTTAAATGAATTATTATTCAGAGTTCTGTATTACTATGCCTAGTAAGGAATCTATTTGTCAATAAACATTTCCTGAATCTTTTTTGGTGTCTCTATTGTTACAGACATACTTGTTGACAGGTATTTTGAAATAAATGACCAAAAATAAGTGAAACTGGTGTGATTCTATTGTGTTATTTTGACAAATAAATTATGCAGAATTTGAAAATATTGTGCACAAAATTTTTAACTTTTTGTTGCAAAGTTTTTAATTTTTGGCACAGAATTCCCCCAGGAGTAACAGTGACATGGCAGAACTGTGATAATGGCCACATTATGAAACCAATCAAGAGCTTTGCTCAACCTTTTGGTTAATGGTAGTTTAAACAAGACAAACAAAGCAAGTGAAACCAGGTGAAAACTGTATTTCAGAGTAGATAGGATCTTTTAGTACATTCCATGGAATATTTATTTTTGGGGGGATGGGTGGGTGGGTGGCTGGGTTTGAAGAGGATGGGGGCAGTGTAATGGGGTGGCTTGTCCCCTCCAAGGCCAGTGGCCTGCAGCCCTGCCCAGCATAGCTGGAAAGGGAAAGAAGGGGAACCAGCCTCCCCCCTTCCACTCTTCAGCTTCCTACTGCTCTTTATAGGAGGATGAACTGTCCCATACCCAGTTGATTCTACTAATTAAATTACACACCGCATCCCAGCTGTGGCAGGAAGAGCTAATTGTAAGAGGGTGGCCAGCTCCAGGCCTTTGGCCATGAAAGGGAAAAAACACCCTAGTACAGACAGCATTCCTTGTGATCGGGGCAGGGGTAAGATTTTACTGACTGCCTCAGGAATTTATTGAGTCAAGCACTATAGTAGGATTTTAAAAAGGCTGGATAATTTCATGACCAATATCATCATGTGTACTTCCTCCTGTTACAGAAGAGACTTGATTCTAATGGATATAAAGGGGATTCTTTACTTAGGCCGGTGGACATACATAGACTCTGTGTGTGTGTCTCTCTCTCTCTGTTTAGTTGCCAGACTCAGTGCACACAGCCTGTGCTGCCTGGTATTATCACACAGGGTCTCCTTATGTCCTAGCATGGACTCAGTATCATCAAAGGGACTTCGGACTACTTGGATCTAGTGGTAATTGTACTTTAATTTCAGGTCATTGGCTCATTGCTAAGGGACTCAGGAAACAAATCTCTGTTCCTCACACATATAGTATAGCACAATTCCCTAGTTACCCTGTGTGATGCCTTCAGCTTTATTTCATGGAAGCAAGATACTGGACTTAATGGTCTAATATGGTAAAACCTATGCTCCTATGCAGCATGCTGCTAGATCTCTTTATGTAACTGCAGCTGCTGCCTTAGTGATCATACTGCGTGTAATGGCATGTCTGCCTTAGGGGATTTATGGGTATGCACTGCAGGCAATGGTGGGATGCGGGGAATCGAGGAATGCATCAGCTAGGATGTGTAGACATTTTGAATTGCTGGCAATCCCCCCTGGGCTGCTGCAGGAAAAATGAGAGACCCAGGGAGCTGCTGACAGCCCACTCACTGGATGATCGGTTTCTTTCTGAAATGAAGAAAGTAAAACAACATTCAGCAGTGATGAAAAGAAGTAAAAGAGCAGCCCTGAACTATCACTTCTCTCAGTGTTCCAGAGATTGGCTTGGTGCCCAATGCAAAATTACATCTGAACTCTCACACGCAGAGCCTGAGCAGCTGAGAGAGAAATGCTGGGGTGGGCAGGGACTCTCAGGCTTGGTCTACACTACCCCCCTAATTCGAACTAAGGTACGCAACTTCAGCTACGTGAATAACGTAGCTGA